AAGGGAGGGAGGGAGGAAGGAAGGAAGGGAGAGAGGAAGGAAGGGAGGAAGGGAGGGAGGGAGGAAGGAAGGGAGGGAGGGAGGGAGGAAGGGAGGGAGGAAGGAAAAGAGGAAGGGAGGGAGGGAGGGAGGGAGGAGAGAATCAGGGAAGGAGAAAAAGATGATCTTTAATTATGCTCCAGGGAGTGGATAACTGGAAACTCAGCAGACCCAGCCATGAATTGCAAGCTGGGGATCTTTCTAGATGGAAGAGATTCTGGCAACCGCTTGTTATTTTGGGTGGGAACTGAATATGAACTAATTTTCAGCTTCCCCTACAGACCTTATCAATGAGGGATGCCTCCATTGCACGTGCCAAAGACCCCAGTTTTGCCCTTGCTAACTGAGAGAAGATAATGCATGTTTGCAACTAGTCATGGCATCAACATATCAGAACAATGAAAAAGACATGCAGAGACTTGAAACTGGAATTTTTTGGTTTTGTTTTTCAGTAAATATAAGTGTGTCTTCCTCCAAAGCCCTGTGTAAGACATAGAAACTGCTCAAGAGACTACAAGAGTCACATGGACATGGATGAAGCTGGAGAGCATTCTGCTAAGTGAAATAAGTCAGACACAGAAAGACAAATATCACATGCTCTCATTTAAATGTGAAATCTTAAAAAAAAAAATCAAATTCAGAGTATCAGAGAGTATAATGGTGGTAACCAGAGGCTGAGGGGAGGGGGAAAGGAAGAGATATTAATCAAAGTGCACAAACTTTTAGTTATATAACGAATAAGTTCTGGAGATCCAAGATACAGCATGGTGACTATAGTTAATAGTGTATTGTGTACTTGAAATCTGCTCAGAGAGTAGATTTCAGGTTTTCTCATCATACTCACAAAATAAGGCACCTACAGGAGGAGATGAATATGTTAGCTTGAGGGTAGTGATCATTTGACGAGGTCTTCATATATCAGAACATCACACTGTATACCTTAAATATGTACTTTTTGTTAAAAGTAAATTTAAAAATTAAATTTCAGAAAGGAATTATGTAAAGTTCTAACCCTACCACTTATCTCTCTGAGCCACAGGAACAGGAAGACAAGTTTAAATAAAGGGATGTGGACCACTTGTTCTAATGCAGGCTTCGTGGGAAATTTAACCCGAAAAACATGTCGATCGGCGTCACCGAAATTGAAAGACAATTGTGTATTCGACCAAAATGTCACTTTAACCTCACTGCCTTTTCAGATACTCTGATTTCCTGCTAGAGTTCTGGTACTAAGTAAAGGCTAGACGCGGGATCTGTTCTATTTATTGATTACCGTGGAACAGACCATTTCACAGATTTAGAACAATAATAATATCTATTTTGGGGCACCTGGGTGGCTCAGTCGTTAAGTTTCTGCCTTCGGCTCAGGTCATGATCCCGGTGTCTTGGGACTGAGCCCCACATCGGGCTCCCTGCTCAGCGGGGAGCCTGCTTCTCCCTCTCCCACTCCCCCTGCTTGTGTTCCCTCTCTTGCTGTCTCTCTCTCTGTCAATAAATAAATGAAATCTTTAAAAATAATAAAAATAATATTTATTTTGTTCATGAATCTGCAGTTCAAGCAGGGCTTGCAGGGGTAGTTTGTTTCTGTTCTACTCTGTCAGCTGGGGCTGGAACCTTCTGAAAGCTCATTCACTCACATGTCTGGTGACTCACACTCATGACTGGGTTTTTCTGCTGGAACACCTACATATGGCTTCCTACCAACATGGCGGCCAACGTCCAATGGATAGCGTCCTGAGAGAAATAGACAGAAGCCACGTCGCTGTTGAGGACCTAGCCTCCGCAGTCCACTGCCATGCATTCATGGAGACAGCCACAAAGGGGGTCCCGCCCACATTCAAGGGAAGAGGAAGACTCTACCTCTTGATGGGGGCATTGGAGATACCCTAGAATAGCACGTAGGACTAAAATATCATGGTGTCCATTTTCTTTCAAAGATTTTATTTATTTATTTAGAGAGAGCACATGTGGGGGGGGGGCGGGCAAAGGGAGAGGGAGAGTATCCCAAGCAGACTCTGTGCTGAGCATGGAGCCTGATGTGGGGCTCTAGCCCACAACCCTGAGATCACGACCTGAGTCAGATGCTTAACCAACTGAGCCACCCAGTGCCCCTGTCCCATTTTTGGAAAATAAAATCTGCCTCATAGTCCATTGTGTGGGAGTGCCCAGAGAGCCAGATGGAGGCAGCAACATCCTTTGATGGTAGTTGGGCACTCTGAAGAGCAGATCACCTTGTCACCATGAAAGGATGCCCCACTGCACCCCTATGCTAAGCTCTGTTCCAGGAAGGACTGTTTTCTGAGAGTGGGCCTTGAGCATTTCTCTCTCCTCTTGATTTCTGTTATCCTACCATATTTCCAGGCTCAGCCACACCAACTCCCATGCCTTCCCTGGCTTCTCTAGTTCACGGTATTCTCTCCATCCTCCAAACTTTGACTCTATACCCCTGACCGAGCCCCGAATATAATTCCTCCTATTGTGACTTAATTTTCTTGTGTGCCTGTTTGCCTCTCAACTTATAGTAACCCCTCGGCATCGTTTATGCTGCCCTACACAGAGTGGGCCATTCAACAAATGGTCCTTGACTAGACTATACATTCATTGCATCAGTGTAAGGCTAGTCTCCCTGGGTTACATATCAACATGGAAGAAAACTGCAGCCTCATGATTTATTTAAAAGTGTGACATC